TCAACAAGAACCTCTTCATTAATCATTTTGGTTTCATTATGTCGCAGTTCTGCTGTACCAATAGATTCTTATGAATACATCAGTTACTCTGAAAAGCCTACCAAAAATAAAATATACTGTTCCATATATTCTAATATGTCTATATATTTGTATATATAGACCCCCTTTTTGACACTTCTGTTTCTGCAGTTTCCAGTTTTCTGTTTTCCTTCTGCTATCATAGTATTATTATATAGGACTTGCTAATTCCTTCTTTTATATAAAGTCATATAAATATTGGTCAGTGTATAGAGAGTAAATATTGTTGCTGATATTGTAACTGAGGAAAGGACATAATTTCTACTAAAAAAAGAGTAGCATTTGAAGATGAATGTGAGATGAAAGTTATGTCAGCTTTCTACTGACAAGTAGAGAGATGAAACTTCAAGGAAAAATTGAAGTATATACAAAGGTTAACTTTAATGTGACTCATAATTTACTCTTAATTACTTACTGATTACCTCCTGTAAAAACAGACATTAATCATAGTCACTTTGACCTACCATAATGCATACAATACTACTGACCCGCTAAACCCTGTGGATGTTCCTTGTTCAGAATAAATATGGAAAAAGCTCCCTCGCATTTAAAATAAATAAATAAATAAATAAATAAATGTGTTAAATTTAATACCTTTCTAGAGGCACTACATTGTTTTTACTCACATACGTAGACTTGCAATCTCTAGTTACTATCTCATTATTCTTTTAAATTAAAGCCTAGTATTTTATAAACATGATAATTTATTGTTACCAAAACTTAAGGTTTAGTTGTCTTTTTTTATGTTTTAACTTCGGGGGCTTTTTTTGTTTTCTTGTTTTTTTTTGTTTTGTTTTGTTTTTTACTTCTACCAGTTATACTTTTATCCATGATGACAAAAACTTCAATTATACATAATATAATATATAATACATAATACATTGTCAACAGTTTATGGGCTGGTTCGGCCCGGTTCTGTGACTAGTGGGGCAGAGGGATTTGAGGGATTTGTATGATGACATCATACGTATTATTATATGTGTAAGGTTGCCTTCATGATTACTACTCCTTCATAGAGCTTCTTGCAAGTGAGCTTTTTCTCAGTGCTGTGCTGCATTATGATAATCAGTCCATCAGCTGGATGAAGCACTCCTTTTCTGTCTATTCACCTTGTTTTGGTAGCACTAATCGCGCTAGTGTCTCAGTCGCTAGACATCAACACCCACTACCACTTTTGGAAGAACAAATGTGCAAGCAGAATCAGGAATTGCCCTTATGACTTTCTCTTTTAGAAACTCTTAAGTTCTCTGTTACTATATTATATTTATCTCTGAAACAGAGATATACACAAATACTCTGTTATACAATTTTCCCTGTTTTATGCAAAATGACATGTATATTTAATATATATATGTGCTTCTAGGTAAAATATATGCATTGGATATAGACATAAGTATGTGAATGTGTATTGAATATTAACTTGAATTCATTCTTGCTTTCAAGTTTTCAGCAACCTACATAGCAATGCTTGTCAGTAATACTGATTTAAGGATGGAAATGAATTGAAACCTCTAGTTTTTGACATCACATTTCACCTCATATCCACTTTCCTGCTTTCAGGCTCTACCCTGACAAAATTCTGGTCTCCTACCGAGTGGAGTGTACACTAAGTTCACAGAGTAGCTCTTATTTCTCTGAAACCTTTTCTGACAATGTGACAGGACTACACAACAGGCACATCTTTACAGCAGCTGGTGGATGCTATGGCCACAGTAGTTTATATTACAGTCTTATCTAGACACACTCTTGCCTTCCAATCTATAAAATAGATTTTTTTTTTTTTTCCCCATTGGAAATAAAGGTTTGAGGAGAAGGAAGTATTTTGGCATTCATCTAATTCTTGTCCAAGTGGGGGACTGGATCATGAAGTGAGATTTATCAATATGAAGGTTACTAGCTAATCAGCATCATTAAAAAAAGATCTGCAGGACAAAGAGCTCAGGATTATGCAGAAAATGAATGCTGGAAATTCCTGGCAATTCCCCAAAAGTCAACATTAATCTAGTATGAGAATAAGAATAGAACTAGCTTATTCAAAATCTTCCACGTTAATCAGGCAAAGTCCTCTGCATTAGGATTCTGTGAAGCACATGCCTCTGGAAAATCTCTGGTGACTGTCACAGCGTAATGCAAAAAACCTCACAGCTTTTCACACTGAAGCAGCCTAATGCATAACTTTGGATTTCAATCCGGCACTTAGCTCGTGGAGCCTTTTGTATGCTAAAGTGTTGTCTGCAGTAGGGAAGGCCAGTGGCAGGAATCAAAATGTGAATATGCTTCTTGATGAACTTCTTGTACATCCATCAGAGGATGTGCACTGTGAAGAGAAACATTATTCACCACTGATCTCAGCATAAACCTCCAAACATTTGTCCATAAATTGTGCCTTTTGTTTTCTACTTTCTGAGGGACTATGCAGTGTTATGTTCAGCCGAGACTGACATGCAAAAGGAAATATAAAATGGAGCTCAGGATCTTCTACAAATGCGCAGTATCACAGAATGCTGAAATCTGGGTGCAACCTCTGGAGCTGATCAGGCCCAATTCTCCTGCTGAAGAAGGGCACCATAGAGGAGGTTGCCCAGTACCAGCATCATTTGTCCAGGCATTTTTTTAAGATCCTCAAGGAGTCCACAAGCTCTTTGGGGAATGTGCGCCAGTGCTCAGTGAACCGCACAGTAAAGAAATATTTTGTGATGTTCAGCTGGAACCTCCCGTGTTCCATTTTGTGCCTAATATGTCTATTTCTGGCAGTGGGCACCACTGAAAAAAAATCTTGCTCTGTCCTTTTTGTATACTCCTTTCAGATATTTACAGACATTGATGAGATTCTCCCTGAGCTTTCTCCTCTCCAGGCTAAACAGTCCTAGTGGTCTCATCCTTTCATCACGGGATACATGCTGCATTACTGTCCTCATCTTTGTGGCCCTTTGTTGGACTTTCCAGCAGCTCCATGTTTCTCCTGTACTGGGGAGCCCAAAACTGGTTGCAGTATTGCAGGTGCATCCTCATCAGTGCTATGTATAGGTGACCTATTCTGACTTGCTGGCAACCTAGTGAAAGCAAGAAGACCATTGGGCTTTTTAGCATCAAGAACTCATGCTAAGTCATGTTCAACTTGGTGCCCACTACGATCCCCAACACTGGAAATCTTTGATGAAAAGTCTTTAAAGTAAGATTTTCATAGTCAGCTAATGCCTGTTGTCCTGACCAGAACACCACTAGGACAAGACATTCTTTCAATGCCAGGTATCTAATCTGACACAACTATCTGTTTTTAAACCAAGTGTAATCTCATTACTTCAACAGGGAATTGCTTAGTACTTACTGAAACCATTCATCTTCTGTTCCTGTGCTCTATTAAGTTTAAAAAAGTAGTTGCAAAACAAAAAAAAATTGACTGATATAAAGGGAAGGCTTTCCTCTGTTTTCAAGTTTTAAAGAGTACTTTTATTTTTTTAGATCTGCTCAAAGTGAAAGAATTGCTAAGGTTTTAGTTCATGGCTATGCATATTTTTCATGAATAGCTGAAATAGGTTTTAATAATTTTATTTTTTTATTTTTTTTCTCAGATAGGCAAAATGTTGTACTGCATAAACTGAGTTCACATATCTAGGAACTCTTCTGGATTAGGAGTCAAATATGGAACTTAATGATGCATTATGCCAAACTCAGACTTAACCAATATGATAAAATATATAGCTGAGCATAAATCAAAGATTGTATTTGTTGTACTAGTAATACTTTGTGAAATCAGAATGACAAATCTTTTAAATGGCAATCTTTAGCATTAAGGTAGACTGCATTATAGCATACATTTGTTACAGTTTCAGATTAAATATTAATACATTCAGCATATAAAATCTTAAAGCATTATCAAATAGCTATATTAACGTATCGCTATAATATGCCCTTCAGCACTGTAGAGAAAGCGTGCGATTTTGCTACTTCAGAACAAAAAATTAATACATTTGCACAAATCAATTTTAAATTAGAGGCAAATAGATAAATAAACCTGTCTTTGTTAATCAAATGTGAAAATTTGTTTATATAATGTATGGTATCATAAAACTAGAGAGGGATTTAATATATCTGGTTGAATTGCACATACGTTGCTCCAGAAGTAATGCGTCCTATTTACTTCCATGGAAACTACAATAGATGCAAAGAACATAATAACACTCTTAGATAGATCAAATTCTCAGTTACAAAACACCATTTTTCAACAGCCACCACCATTAGTTATGTATTTTGCTAAAATAAGAGAGAATTAGGTTAGGAGGAAAGTCATTACTCAGGGACTGGTGAGAGAGTACAACAGGCTGCCCAGAGAAGCTCTGGGTGCCCTGTTCCTGATCAAGGCCAGGTTGCATAGGGGTCCTGGGCAGCCTGATCTGGTAGCTGGCAACTCAGCCCATTGCAGGGGGTTGGGACACAGTGATATTTGAGTTTCCTTCCATCCCAAGCCAGTCTATGATTCTGTGATTCCCATAGTTGTATTCAGATATTAGGATGTGTTACTTATTCACTTTCTGAGATCTATACAAGCTCTTTAATATCTCTGGTTTTCTTAATAAACTTAATTTTGTATCTAATATTTAACATTAAAAGTTACTTTTGTGATTAAATGATATCTTTTGAACTCAGCTGTGGACCTGGATCAAATTACTAAGTTCAGAAGAAAATGTTCTTTAAATATTTTGCTAAAATTTACCTTGTAACAAAATCAGTTATCTCAGACAGTTATACTGCTGAAATGTAGAAGATCATAAGGGTAATGCATTCTGTTATTCAGGCTTACGATATTTTGATACTGGAGAGATGCTTTAGTTTGTTTTTTCAATTTCATAACTAACATTGTAATAGATAAAAAAAAAGGTAGCCAATTTTATATACATTATCCTATTATTGTGTCTCATTAGGTGCTACAACTATTGAAAAGTATGATCTCAGAACAAATATATGGATCCAGGCTGGAGTGATGAATGGCAGGAGGCTTCAATTCGGTGTTGCTGTCATCGATGACAAGCTGTTTGTCATTGGAGGCCGTGATGGTTTAAAGACATTGAACACTGTTGAATGTTACAATCCAAAGACAAAAGCTTGGACTGTGTTACCACCAATGTCAACACATAGGCATGGTTTAGGTAAGGAAAAAAAAATGTTCTAAAAATCTAACACATTTTTTCAGATAAGTAAATGATAATGCAAAATTTAAGTTTCTATAGCTATTATATCACATTCATCAGTATCAATAAAGATTTATATTATGCTTGTTAGATCACTAAGAATATAAAGAAGATTAAGACACTTTTTTGTGATTTAATGATGTATAAAGAAGATTAAGACACTTATTTGTGATTTAATGATGTATGAAAACTTAAGACAAGACAGCAAAAGAAACGGAAACTTTAAAAGATTGGTGGCAGAATGGCAAGGGTTGGAAGGGACCGCAAGGATCATGAATCTCCAACCCTCCTGCCACATGCAGGGCCACCAACCTCCACATTCAATATGAGACCAGGCTGCCCAGGGCCCCATTCAATCTGGCCTTCAACACCTCCAGGGACAGGGCATCCACAACTTCTCTGGGCAGTCTGTTCCAGCACCGTGCCACTTTCTTTGTAAAGAACTTCCCCCTGACACTGAACCTAAATCTCCCCTCCCTCAACTTCAAACCATTTCCCCTTGTCCTGCAGTTATCTACCCTTACAAAGAGTTGATTCCCCTCCTGTTTGTAGGCTACCCTTAGGTACTAAAAGGCTCCAATGAGGTCACCCCACAGCCTTCTTTTTCCAGGCTGAACAAGTCCAGCTTCCTTAGCCTGTCTTCGTAGGGGAGGTGCTCCAGTCCCCTGATCACCTTTGTGGCTCTCATCCCCCTCTCCAATAGATTTCTGTCTTTCTTGTACTGGGGGCTCCAGACCTCGACACAGTACTCCAAATAGGGCCTCACAAGAGCAGAGTAGAGGGGGACAATCACCTCCATGTCCCTGATGGCCACGTCTCTTCTGATGGAGCCAGGGATACCATTTGCTTTCCGAGCTGCAAGGGCTGGCTCATGTTAAGCTTTTCATCTGTCAGGACCCCCAGATCCTTCTCCGTGGGTCTGCTCTCAAGAACCACTCCTTCCAGTCTGTCTAGATGCCTGGGATTCCTCCGGCCCAAGTGCAAAACCTTGCACCTTGCTGTGTTGAACCTCATTAAGTTCAGCCGGGCCCACCTTTCTAGCCTGTCAAGGTCCCTCTGAATGGCATCCCTTCCTTTCACTGTGTCTACTGCACCACTCAGCTTGGCGTCATCAGCAAACTTGCTGAGGGTGCACTTGATTCCATCATTGATGTCATTGATAAAGATGTTAAAGAGCACCAGTCCCAAGACAGATTCCTGGGGGACGCCGCTCACTACCGGCCTCCACCTGGACATTGAGCCGTTGATGACCACCCTCTGTCTGCGGCCTTTCAACCAGTTTCTTATCCGTCGAGTGGTTCACCCATCAAATCCACCTCCCTCCAATTTGGAGATAAGGATGTGGTGGGGGACCATGTCAAAGGCCTTTCTCAAGTCCAGGTAAATCACATCAGTCACCTTTCCCTTGTCCACCAATGCCGTCACTCCATCATAGAAGGCCACCAGATTGGTTAAGCATGACCTTCCCCTGGTGAAGCCGTCCTGGCTGTCTCAGATCACACGCTCATTCCACATGTGATCAAAAATGTCATTCAGGAGGATCTGTTCCATGATCTTCCCAGGCACGGAGGTGAGACTCACCAGCCTGTAGTTCCCTGGGTCCTCCTTGCTCCCTTTCTTGTAAATGGGAGTGATGTGACCCTTCCTCCAGTCATCCAGGACCTCACCTGATAGCCACGACTTTTCAGATATGACAGAGAGGGTCTCAGCAACCACCTCAGTCAGCTCTTTCAGAACCCTGGGATGCACGTCATCTTGCCCCACACACTTGTACACATTCAGTGTCATGAGGCAGTCTCGAACTTGCTCTGCCTTTACAGCTGGGGGGAACTTACCATCCCAGTCCTCACCTAGAGGTTTAGGGATGCCAGGCTCAGGGACGTGAGAAATACTAGAATTCTGGCTGCCAGTGAAGACTGAGGCAAAGAACTGATTCAGTACCTCAGCCTTCTCTTTGTCCATTGAAGTGTGTTCTCCTTTTACATTTACCAAAGGAGGTACACTCGCTTTGGCCTACCTCTTCTGGCCAATGGACCTGTACAGTGTCTTCCTATTGTTTTCCACATCTCTCACCAAGTTCAATTCCGCCTGCGTCTTGGCTTTCCTGACCCCTGACCGCAAGTCCAGATGGCATCCCTGTATTCTTTTCAGGTGACACGCCCTTGTTTCCAGAGCTTGTATGCACCTTTCTTTGTCCTCAGCATGCCCATTAGGTCCTTTCTGAGCCATTCCGGTTTCCTACCTCCTCTGCCCGCTTTCTTATTCAGAGGGAAGGAGAGCTCTTGTGCTTTCAGGAAGGCATCCTTGAAGAGTAGCCAGCTGTCCTCAACATCTTTGTTTTCAAAGACAGCATCCAAGGGGATCTTGGCCAACAGTCATTGAACTGCTTTAAGTTCACTCTTTCAAAATTCAGGGTCCTGACATCACTTTTTACCAGGCTCACATCCCTCAAGATCACAAACTCAACCAGGGCATGGTCACTGCAGCCCAGGCTGCCTCCAACCTTAACACCTTTAATGATCTTCTCTGCACTGGTGAGCAGCAGGTCCAGCAACACTTCACCTCTGGTTGGTCTGTCTGATACCTGGATCAGAAAGTTATCATCAGTGGATTCCAGGAGCCTCCTGGACCTCTTGCAGCTCACTGTGTGGTCTTTCCAGGAGATATCAAATGGTTGAAGTCCCCCATCAGGACAAGAGCCTGTGAGCACGAAGCCTCCCGCATCTGAAGCAAGAAAGCCTCATCCACAGTCTCCCCTTGATCAGGTGGCCTGTAGTATACCCCTATCACCAGCTGGCCTTTGTTAGACCCATCCCTAATTCTAACCCACAGGCTCTCAACCTGTTCCTGACTGTTTCTCAGAGGGAGCTCCTCACGGCCTATCTACTCTTTGACATAGAGTGCAACTCCCCCACCCTTCCTACCTCACCTATCTCTTCTAAAGAGCCAGTATCCCTCAATGGCGGCATTTCAGTTATAGGAGTTATCCCACCATATTTCTGTGATAGCAACAAGGTCATATCTTTCCAAGTGCCCCATGGTTTCCAACCCGTCCTGCTTATTTCCCCAGCTGTGTGCCTCGGCTATCTGTCTTATTTCCCCAGCTGGGCTATCTGTCTCGCTGCTTTCATAGAGGATCTAGGATCCCGTAGAACAGCAGCATCCCCAGCATCCCCATGCTGCAGTCCATCCCTTTGTATTCCACCATCTTCGCCCATCAAGTTTGGTACAAGCCCTTGAACGACCCACTCCACCCTAGTGGCACTCTTTTTGTCTTCTTCCCCTGAGGCTTTTCTTAGCAACTTGCAGTCACTGCCGCCTGAACTGTCAATAAGGGATAATAATCAGAAGGGTGAATCAGTCCAGCAAGTTTCCTAGAAATGTCCCTGGTCTGTGCCCGGGGGAGGCAGCTCACCTCCCCACGGGTAAGGTCAGGCCTTACCTGACCTTATAGGGCCCTTATAGGGCCTTTCATTCCTCTCAGCAGGGAGTTGCCTATGACAACCACCCTTCTGTCCTGCTGGGTGGAGGTAGTCTTGAGGCTTAGGGTTGACAACTTCACCAGAGGTAACCTCATGGATGGATCTCCCTCCACACCCTCACTCACCTCTCCCTCGACTTCCAGGGACTCAAACCTATTGCGCAGAGGCACATGGGGAGCCAAGTATGGTTGGGATGAGGGAAGTCCACTTTGCCAAGCTGGTATCTGTTTCCACTCCTCCTCCTTTCTCAAATTGTTGCTAGGGGGAGGAAAGGACAGGGGGCTCACTGCAGCACTGTCTGCCTGCCGGTTCCCCTCTCCCACCTGTTTGCAAGGCAGCAGGGGGTGACATGCTCCATGTGGAGCCTCAGTTGTGTGCCAAGATCTCAGGGCCAACAGAGACTGGCAAATCAGTCTGTCTCTCACACTCCGTTATGGTCCTCAGACTTTCCACCTCCTTCAGCTCGACCACAAGGCTGAGTAAGTCATTTACTGGTCACATCTTATACAAGTGCTGCCTCCATCGCCCTGCACTGCAAAGGCCGGGCTCTGGCACTCATGACAGCCAGTGACCTGTGTACTAGCATCTTGTGTTGGGGCCTCAGTCTGAGTCTCCACACTTGTCTTAGCATCAGCAATCCTTTCAAGCATGCATGGGACCTCAGTCTGGGTCTCCATGCTCTTTTTGGCTGCAGTCTTCTTTGTGCATGAGCATGGGACTTCCATCTGTGTCTCCACAATGTTTGTGGCGGTAGCCTTCCACTGGGGTGCAGCCATTGCAAACCAGCAGGCACACTAACACCACTAGATGGCCTTAGGTGTGACTGATCAGCCCTGCCCTGCTGCGGGTAGCGCTGGCTCGGCCCTCACGCCGTTGCCGGGTCGTTAACAGGAGCCCTCGCACTTACTACTCACCTGAGAGTGATAACAACCATCTTTGCTGCATAGTCCCGTGTATGGCTGGCTTACAGTTTCTCCTTATTAAAACAGCCCTGGTGATTCTCGCACCTCAATTCCTACTCTGTCCTTGAGGCTTTTTGTAGGCGAGGGGAGTGAGCGCAGAGCCATTGCCCTGGCAACGCCCCCGCCGCGTCAGCTGCTCTCGCGAGAACTGCCCGGCTGAGAGCTGCCCAGCCGCTCTGTTGTGTCGCCGATCCCTGAGTGAGGGAACCGGCCGAAACCCCTCCGTACCTCGCGGTCGGTCGCTGCGGTTCTGGCTGGAACAGCTCTGAAGCAGCGAACCTCGGCGATGAAGCTGTTTCAAAGTATTATATTTTTTCTGTTATACAGCATGATAGGAAATATGCTCATGAGTATACACATTATGTCAGTAATGAATATAATGCTTTACATAATGCTTTATATGCTTCACAATATAATAATTATAAATATAATAATATATTAATAATATAATAATATAAATTAAATAAATAAAAATAAAAAATAATAATATAATAATATATAATAATATATAAAT